GACAAGCTCAGGTCCATTAACTCTTAGCGCAAGTCAGTCTGAGAACCAGAGTTTCCATGACAGCTGCAAACAAAGCTCTTGTTTTTTGTAGCTACAAGGCTGATATTGCTGAAACTCATACACAAAATTTAGTTGTGTGGCCTGCTGAATTAAGAACAACAGTTGAATTTATAATCTTACCAAGTTTCTCATGTGAAAGTTAGGAAACTGACAAAGAATGGGACTTGGAAGCTTTGAATGTAGACATCTGTTTGGATCCTAGTGAAACTGATAACCTTGAACCCCTCAGGTCACTCTGAGTCTCCCGTACTAGTGCAAGTAGCCTGCCTTCCAGAGTTTTTAGAGAAGACAAGCCTTCCTCAGCTTGAAAGCCCTATAATAACATCTTCTTAGACAGATGCTTTGAAAAGGGATGCCCATCCTTTTCAAGACCTACCACGACCATCCAGTGACACCCGTAACTAGAGTCACATCTCAGCAGGTTCTAGGGGGACAGGTACACACAAGAAGAAATAACTTACACACCAAGAGAATTGTAAAACTTTGCTAATAGGTATCTGAAAAAATCTGGGGAATATTATGTGCGAGTCAATTCTAAGGGAGACTGGAATGTAACAATGGATTGAACCAAATTCATTTATATGAGTATATTTCCTATAGATTCTAGATGTAATGAGTCTGTGGAGCTTCTGGGAAACACAAACAGAAAAATCATAGTGCAAATATCTAGACTTTTGCAGCAAAGCTACGCCCTCTTGTGTAGGTAACGTCCTTCCTTTTGAGAAGCAGCTTCTGGCTTGCTGCTGAGCCTTGGTAGAGACAGAATATCTAACCATGGGACATCAGGTGATCATGTGGCCTGAGCTTCCCCTCACGGAGTACTGTCTGAACTATCGAGCCATACAGTTGGGCATGAGTAGCAGTAAGCTGTCATCAAATGGAAATGGCATATAAGAAACTAAGTTCAGAAAGGTCTGGAAGGTACAGGTTGCATGAGCAGGTAGCTCAGACTCCCTTGAAACCAGCTCTTCTTGCCTTGATTCATCCCCCTCCATCTATGCATACGGCCTCCTGGGATATTCCTTACGACCAGAATTGAAGAAGAAAACTCAACCTGGATTACAGATGAACCTGCACAATATGCTTGTTCCACCTGAAGGTCAATAGTGGCAGCATTACAGGCCTGCACAGGGGCCTTAGTGAAGGACTTAGTGGTCCAAAAAGTATGGATAAAATGCACATGAAATACATGTGATATATTCCAGCCAAAATGTTTACCCTTTAAAATTAATCCATCAAGCCTTTCAGTCTTTTTCAACCAGGGTTCTGGGGAAGAATTAAGTCCTGCAGAGCACGACTGAGTCTTTTCTTGATTATCCTAAGGATGGTATACAGCTGGTACCATTATTAATGCACAGGAGAAAATTCATTATATACAATGGATGCCTTATGGCATTAAGAGTTAATTCTCTTGAGGAATCCGTACTGAGAAGAGCTGCTTTAGATATAACTTCTAATTAGAGGAATTACAAAGAACAGAAAAACAAACTAAACGAAACAAAGACAAGGCAACCAGAAAATTCAGAAGATAAGATGTTCTATAAAACTGGTCCAATCTTTTCAACACATCAGTTCATTTTGAAAAAGGAAGGGAAAGAGACTGTGATTAAGAGTTATAATAACTCGATACAAGGCATGGTTCTAGACTGGATATTGATTTGAAAAAAGGCTGCAAAGGATATTTTAGGACCAATGTGGTGTCAAAATTTATGAGGGCTTAACTAAGACAGGATTCGGCGGGGCTGTGGGAGGAGCTCTTACATCCTATGTCGGTCTGCAAGCCCTACATGAAGAACTCTAGGGTTACAACAGAGTTCCAAGATTGTAACAGCCCTTCCCCTTGACTTCCTCTTCCCCTCTGAAAAGAACTTCCTGCCTCTTCTTACTTCATTTTGTGCATGTGGCTCACCATGTCTGCATGTACTAGATTGCAATCCTTTCTTTTTCCTGAATAAATACCTAGCTGACTTTTTGTTTACGACCAAAGTTGGGGAACTATGAATATGGCCTGGGAATATATTAAATGATATAAAACTTTACTGAAAAGGAAAGATAAAGCTGGATGATTGAAAAAGCAGACTACAGAAGGGTAGGCAAAGTATCTCATTTGGATTTTTAAAATCTGTACATATGTTCACAGAGGATATGTACTAAAGGGTTAACAGTATGATCTCCAGGTGGTTCGAACCTAATGTGCCTGTCTTATTTTCCAATTATCTATAGTATTATTTCTTTAAAACAAATGGTTAGATGAAAAATACATTTAACCAGTGAATTTCTAATACCAAACTGAACACAATTTTAAACAAAATTTTGTTTTTTCAAATAAAAAGTTCTATGATGTTGCAGAAGTACTGAAACAAATCCCTGAAAAGTAGTCTCCTATAACCACATGATTGAAAAAATTGAGCTGGAATATAAAGACCTAAAAATAAGATGTGGGCTAGATAATCGATTTAATACCATCTAAGTTCAGCAAATATTTTCTACAAAGGGCCAGGTAGTAAATATTTTAGGCTTTGCAGACCATATATGGTCTCTGTAAAAAATAGCGGACAAAGACAATGTATAAGTGAATGGCCACAAGTGTTCTCCAATAAAACTTTATTTATAAAAATAGGTGACCAGCCACAGATCATAAATTTACCCACTCCTGGTCTACAGCATTACATTT